AATATTCACAGTTATTTTTACTTTTAAAAAGTTGCTCAAATATATCTGACATTCTGTCATGACTTGATGTAAAAACAAAACAAACAAAAAAGAACAAGTTAGATTAACCAATGACATAAGCATCATTCTAAAAACACTAGCAACAGTTACTGTAAGTATACACTGTGAAAACAGGTCCTGATCAGTCACACATAAGTACACAGGGATGATATAGAACACCTTAATATTTGTACCCTGCCAGTAAAAAACAAGAGGGCTTCTTTAAAGACCATGTGGAGTAAGAGATAAACGAAAAAGAGAAACGTTCATTTTTATTGGTATAGATTTGAGCTCCAAACTAAATTTTATAGGACATTTGTTTTTATTTCAGTGGTGCAGCATGCCTAAAAAAGAGGGGCAATACTTATCCATGCCTGTTGGGCAACAGCAATCCCAGCAAACTGAAATCACTGGGACATGTCTATTTGTTGAGTGTTTCATTGTCATTTAAACTGAAATCACTGGGACATGTCTATTTGTCGAGTGTTTCATTGTCATTTAAACTGAAATCACTGGGACATGTCTATTTGTTGAGTGTTTCTTTGTCATTTAAACTGAAATCACTGGGACATGTGTCTACTTTCCTGTGATGACCCTGGAAAGAGAGTGAGATGGGGTGCTTGAGTGGAGTTGGGCTGAATTTATATGACCAGTTTTATTAGGTACTTAGAGATGCTGGAGAGAGAGAGAGAATCTGAGTTTAGTTCAGCTTAATCCACTGATAACCAGTTCAATCAGAAACCAATTATCATGGCCATATGATATTTCAACTGCTAACTTATCATATCTGGACCAGATATTGCAGGTATCACAGGAGGGGTCCCATTTTGTCAAACTGAGATAAAACCAATAGTTCTCTTATCTTCATATCTTTGAAATCTATTACTGGATTTTTATCCAGCATTTATTTCTCTTTTCACAGCATAAAAGCTGACCAGTTTGTTGACAGTGTACTAGTAACCTCTTGTTCTGCAAGTCTGCCAGAGAAACTTCTTTTTACCCTATCCATTTTCTTCCATGTTATTGTACAGTAAAATCAATGTCAAAACTTTGTTTGTTTTTTTTATAAAATCAATAGCAAAAAAATTTCCTAATTAGGAAGATTTGCCTTTTTTGCAAAGTTGTCATATACAATGTAAAGTTCTGAATGGGAGTTGTATTCAAAATCTACTAGTCTAGTAAAATTTTGTTATTATTCTGACAAACTGAATACTTCATCTTGAGCTACTTCTTTTCTGTCAGTGTGCTCAGTTAAATTTAAGCACAGAAGTTACAAAAGAAGACCTGAAATAAATATAAAAAAATCCTCCACTATAAAGATGGCCCACATACAGGTGACATACCATTAAACCACAAATAACACGCCATAAAAATGATGTGCAGACAACCATCTTGGTCTCATCCCAATTCATGGCAGGTCCATTTAACTGCTTCAAACTAGAGTTATGATTTGTGTCAAGCCACCTAAGGTGATTGCACTTTCAAGGTCAACTCACTCTCACTCAAGCAGAAGGGAAATAAGGGATTGGCGGATTACAGTATGTGGAAAATATATGAGAAGTTATGACTCAATTTTTTTTAAAAAAGTGTGTCCGGTTAAACTGCTAATGGGCATAAAGCCAATTTTATCAAATAAGCTGCAATTAATATTAGTCACCAGTAATCATCTTAAAAGTAAATGATTCAACTGGATGAAGGAAACGAAGTTGCTAAAAGTGCTTTAAGATACAAAGGAATGGCAAAAAGAAACAGAGTAAGTTGGGGTAAGCACACCTACTTAACTGTATAAGTTGGGGTAAGCACACCTACCTAACTGTATAAGTTGGGGTAAGCACACCTACCTAACTGTATAAGTTGGGGTAAGCACACCTACCTAACTGTATAAGTTGGGGTAAGCACACCTACTTAACTGTATAAGTTGGGGTAAGCACACCTACCTAACTGTATAAGTTGGGGTAAGCACACCTACCTAACTGTATAAGTTGGGGTAAGCACACCTACCTAACTGTATAAGTTGGGGTAAGCATACCTACCTAACTGTATAAGTTATAACTGTATAAGTTGGGGTAAGCACACCTACCTAACTGTATAAGTTGGGGTAAGCACACCTACCTAACTGTATTAGTTGGGGTAAGCATACCTACCTAACTGTATAAGTTATAACTGTATAAGTTGGGGTAAGCACACCCACCTAACTGTATAAGTTGGGGTAAGCACCTAACTGTATGTACATGGCCATTTAGGAGGTTGTTGAACATTTCCATCATCACCTTAAAATTTCTTTGATAGAAATTGGACACTGCATGCAATCTCCATAATACATTCTGACCACCTCAATTCAAAATGCCTTTTTACACCCTAATGCCATTTATTTACAACAGAAATAAGACATTTTCATAAATAAGGACACATGGTAGATATAATTCAATACAATAATGATGGGACTTTGTAGTAAATGAAAACTACAGTCCAGTCATCTTAGTCCAGTACCAGAGACATTAAAGGGTGTGTTCCCAATGTAACTACGTAGATCAAACCAATGTAGATCTAACCAACTCAACAGGGATTCCCTGAATGCAATCAGATCTTAAAAGTGAATGATACACCTCCTCAAACTTGGAAGTGATTAATTTCTGGGTAGGCTCGACTTTTGGAATCTTTTTCACTTTGTTTTGAAAGTGACCTAATGCATGCAAAATGTTCCATCCCCTAGCTGCTAGGCCTCATTCAGTAAATCTGACTACATTCAGCGAGTGTCCCTGCAGAGTTGTATCTGTCTAAACAGACTACAGTTTCATCTGGAATGTGCCCAAATAATGTATGCCAGGTAGAACAACATGATCCACATCTTATAATTACCTTGTCCAACTGCTATAATATAGTACAACAATCCTGCTTCTCTTTCACCGGGCTTGAATTCATCTCTCTTACAATCTCAACAAATACTTCATTCACATTCTGAGTATTTTTGGCTGAGGATTCACAGTAAGGACACCCCCAGAGTTGAGCCAGTGCCATTCCTTCAGAGGTGGCCACCTCTCTCTGGTGTTCCAGGTCCTTCTTATTGCCAACAAGTAACATGGGGACTTTATCTGTGCCCTTCACCCTCATGATCTGGTCCTTCATTGTTTTAATATCCTGGAAAGTTTGTAAACTTGTGATGCTATAGACAATAGCAAATCCTTGTCCATTTTTTATATACAGGTCCCTCATGGAAGCAAACTGCTCTGTGCCTGCCGTGTCCAGGATTTCCAGCACTGAGGGGGCTCCATCCACCTCAATTTCTTTTCTGTAGAAATCTTCAATTGTAGGGTCATATTTCTCAACAAAATTCCCTGTGACAAACTTCACAGTGAGGGCACTTTTCCCCACCCCACCACTGCCCAGAACCACCACTTTAAACTCCCTCATGGTTTTTTCTGCTCCCTTTCTCTCTGGTTAAATGATGTACACTTCACTGGCTGTGGTCACTAGGATCTGGAAAAGAAGAAGATAATTTAAAGTTTGCTTATCATATGAGACAATCAACTATCTGTAAGATATTTCTACATGCAACTACTGAAAATAGAACAATCTTATGTCTATGTCTGTTTTAAATAACTAATTTTAAATAAACTTTAAATAGCTTTAAAATTATCAACAAATTTGATACTGCAATGACAAATGTTGATCTCAATATATCAACTCTAAGTTTGAAGCTATGTGGAGTGAACTAATGACTCCTGTAACCATTTCATGTTGTCATCAATTAACCATGTTATAATCTTTACAATGTTTTCAGTGAAGTAGTATGTAGCAGTATCAGGTGTGCAGACAGGTGTAACTTGTCACAGGACATGTTTGTGTATGTCATCTTCAAAGTACAACATGCTAATGATATTTCCAAGTTGTCCCCAAGCTAAAAGTTTTACCAAATTGTCTCTGTAAAATGTTCAACTCAGGGATTATCCTTTCAATGTTTCACTTTTCAACTCTTCTATTAAGCAGTTCTAAACAAATTGAAATTCCACACTATGTTAAGCTGTGGAAGATATGTTTTATAATGATAACATGAATAATGATCTTTACTGGTTCTAGAACATTTTACTAAAAGCCTCACAATATTTTGCAAAGACTTTTTTGTAAAAATAATTAGAATCCTAAACTCTCTGTTGTGATGAAGATGTAATTGAAAAATTATACAGATAACATTACATATGGCAAAAGTTACCCACAAGTTATCTGGTTTATAACCAAATAAGTTAAGTTTAACAGAATGTTAACTTAAACTATTAAATCGCGTCTTATTATTTATTAGAATAAACAAAGATTAATTAAGCAGGATGACATAATATGCATCAACAAACAATGAGTGGACCAGTCACTTAAAATAACACCATTATTCAAAGTAACCATCCTGTACGACAGATAAAATATTACATTTAAATCAACATAATAGCTGCCACAATACTAATGCATTATCTACTGAAATGTGCTGATTAACAATATATACATGGACTAAATCAGACAATGAAGCTTATATTCATAATTGAATTGCTCAATATAAATCATATTTTAAAGCCAAGAAACTTGACACAAATCTTACATTATCAGAGGTATCAAGCATGACTAAACCCACCATTTCTAACACAGAGACGCTCCCTGTATGTATACAAGTAAAGAAATATCCTGGCAATATCTTCCCGACATTCACACCTAAATCACACTACAAAGGCTTGTTTAAGGTTATCTGCGACATAATCATCTCGGTTTTTTTATTACTCTACCGAGAGGCGGTTATCACTCTCTCCCATACACTACATAATGATAGCGACTTATTCCTCCAATCTCTCCCATCTGTCTCTTAATTTGTACCAGGCTGGGCCTCTTCACGGTTTTCAAACAAAGAAATTCACACAATCTGTTGCTAAAAATAAATTATATGTGCGACTAAGAACACCAAGAGACGTTTAAATATAAAATGAACTTTGATCTGGTCTTACCTCACATCTTTTTGGTGTTATTTTTCATGGTGTATTTCGGTTGTGAAATGGGGACATCTAGCTCTCCTTGGGTGGGTCGAGCGGAAGTATCACTTTGTAATCTCCTTTTACTAGAGAAAGTGCTTCATGCGAATTTGATTTTGAAATTTATCCTTGCAGGTTATTATTTTTGTAAAAGAAAAATACAGAATAAATCCAAAGGGCTGTATTAAAATTTTCAAAACTCCGAACCATTCGTTTATACTTTGTGAGAGTCATTACTATGGGGTGAAAGTATAAGTAAAAGTCTTTTGTCATTCTTTATTTTTGACACAACCAAATGTTTTGGGATGGCAGAACGGTAAGGAAGTTATTTCAATGTAGGATTTACCGGTTTCAGATCATTTATAGGATTTTTTGATTAAATTAATTTTGATGTATGTACCAGATATATCAATTGAGATACGTATAGTGTGTAGGGTGCCCTTATTTGACCTTTGATTTAGCAAAAACTTTTCTATCAACGGCGCAGCTACAGCAAGAGGACGATTTCAGCACATGATAATTGACACAGCCTCACAGGACAACTTTCTTCAAATGTTTTAATTGTTAAGACATTTTCAAGAGGTTATTCATACCAGATTGATTCCATTGAAATTCACAAAAGCGAGTGGTTTGAAAATTTAACGTTATATAAGAAACCAACCATTTTATTTTAATGACAAACATTTACTAGTATTTTGCTGAAGCAGTAGCTATTTTCCTCTAGGTCGCGGACAGACCAGTACGGCTTTGAGTGGCCGGAGGACTTTGATTTCTCTGCATACGATGCTTATGAGTCCAGTTATATCCAAGTTCTCGCCAGGAGGAGCAGGAAATGGAAAAGTTTACTAGGACACAAGGAAAAAGTGAAGAAGAACAGAACTGGTAATGCGATTCTTAAGAATCCCCTGGAATTTCTGTGATAAATCTATAGAGTCGATTTAGTGTTATTTAGAAAAAAACAGGAGATATATTAATTATTTATATTAATGTCACCCTTTTGAAATTCATTTTGCTTTTTCAAAGTACTGCCCAAAGCATATGCTACTACTTGTATGTTCATACCACCTATTATTCATTTGAACAAGGCCGCGCATTTCTTTTATTATCATTGGTTGTCTTTTGTATTTAATATTCCATTTTGTTTGATATATTAGTAGATTATATGTGTAACTGGAGTCTTTTTTTACTATACATGTAACTTGCTTTTTCTACTTTGTAGTTAAGAGATATGTACGTAAAGGCATTCCCAAAGAGTTCAGGCCACTTGCCTGGATGACCCTCAGTGGAGCCCAGATGAGGATGGACTCCCAACCACAGCTCTACCAACACCTCCTGACTCAACAGCCACAGCCAGAAGTCAAGGAGTCCATTGACCAAGGTAAGAACTCTACCAACACCTCCTCTCTCAACAACCACAGCCAGAAGTTAAGGAGTCCATTGACCAAGGTAAGAACTCTACCAACACCTCCTCACTCAACAACCACAGCCAGAAGTCAAGGAGTCCATTGACCAAGGTAAGAACTCTACCAACACCTCCTCACTCAACAACCACCGCCAGAAGTTAAGGAGTCCATTGACCAAGGTAAGAACTCTAGCAACATTGACCTTTAGCCTGTCTTGTATGTGTCAGCAGCTTTGCCCTTCTTGCTTCAAATGAATATTTGATATTTTTAGAAGTCTGCAGTTACAGTATACCTATGACTGACGCAGCATTTATGAAATTAATCTGTCCCAAATAACTACTTCAGAACACTTGGATAGGAAAACTAGCTTTTCAATATGTTACAGAGTGGCCTGTATTTCACCCAGACTGCCACCTGCTGTTGCCATGGTATCCTGCTGATGCATCAATTAAATGGCTTGACTGTATAGTATATCTGTGATATGATTTGTAAATAAATAATAACAATTGGGCTGTCTTGGCAGAGATCTCTGCTCTCTGAGTTAAATGCCTTGACTGTGTAGTATATCTGTGATATGATTTGTAAATAAAGAATGACAATTGGGCTACCTTGGCAGAGATCTCTGCTCTCTGAGGGCCTTTCTGCTTAATGTAGTATTTTGTTGGTCTTGTTTAAATGTATATTGCTTGTCTTTAGTTTTAGTTGACTAACTTTTACTGGTGTTATCAATTTTTTTCATTTTGCAAAACCTGCCAAATATTACTTAATACAAATAATAACAACAGAATACTAAGTATGCCTTTTTTCCAAGCATGTTATATAAACATTGCAGATCTCCATAGAACATTCCCTGAAAATATCTATTTCTGTGATACCTTGGACCCGACAGGTCTACGCCAGCCACTGTGCAATGTCCTCACAGCATTTGCTCTGAAGAATCCCAAGATTGGCTATTGTCAGGTAGTCAGTTATGGTTTAATTGTGGTTTGTTTGTTTCTTAGAGGTGAGGGAGGGGATGTTTATTACTTATCTTAGTCTTATGATATGCATTCAGGATTTGCCATATTTATTTATACTATATTTCAGTATATATATTAGCAGTGTATGTTTTCAAATATTGAAATGTTCAAATATGGAATATGACACACAAATGAGTACATATTTATTATTCCAGTTGTTAATTAGTAACCTACATCTGAGTTTTTCTCTCTTTTAATTTTCCTCCCTATGGATTGTGTTTAGAATACGATTTTCTGTTGATAAACACATCAGTTGATTCTGAATTAGTAATAATGATAACTGTTTGTTTTCAGGGATTTAACTTCATCGTAGGGGTGATGCTGCTAATCTTGCGAGATGAACAGAAAACGTTTTGGTTATTGGACACCTTGATCACACAGATATTGCCAGGTAATATTAGACACCTTGATTACACAGATATTGTCAGGTAATATTAGACACCTTGATTACACAGATATTGCCAGGTAATATTAGACACCTTGATTACACAGATATTGCCAGGTAATATTAGACACCTTGATTACACAGATATTGCCAGGTAATATTACACACCTTGATGACACAGATGTTGTCAGGTAATATATATAATGCTATTATATATTAATATATTTTCCAGATCTCTACAGCCCAGGTATGGCAGGCCTGAAGGCAGAAATTGCAGTGTTAGCAGAGCTTATAAGGTAAGATGAAAACTATGCCATTGGGCAGTTGTAGGGCAGTACTATTATTGGGCAGTCCTATTATTGAACAGTCCTTGTTCAGAAGTTTTATTGGGCAGTCCCAAAAATTGGGCAGTCTTAGGACAGTCCTGTAATTAGGCAGTCCTACTATTGGGCAGTCCTATTATTGGAAAGTCTTATAATTAGGTAGTCCTATTATTGGGCAGTCTTAAAAATCGGCAGTCTTATAATTGGGTAGTCTTGGTACAGACCTATTGTTGGGAGAGTACTGTTAATAACATCTGAGCATACTCCATAGTGACGTGAAGTACTGTGACAGTCCCAATATCTAATAAAGCTCCCAGATAAAGACTGCATTGTATTTTCTTAGTTTAAGTCATATGATCATATAATACAAGGTGTTATGTTGCAGGCAGAAGGAGGCAGGGATATATGATAATGTAGAGAGAGAGGGTGTAGTTTAAGTCATATTATCATATAATACAAGGTGTTATGTTGCAGGCAGAAGGAAGCAGGGATCTATGATAATGTGGAGAGAGAGGGTGTACCATGGGCCGTCGTCTTCACCAGATGGTTTATCTGCCTGTTTATTGATGTTCTACCTATAGAGGTAAACCTGACCCTACCTTGTCTACAAATGATACTGAGTTAAGACTCTTGGTGAATGTGTGCCATAGTTCATGTTGTCTTGAGCCTAATTTTACTGTTATATATGCTGTCATATGGTCATAAGAATACTCCTACATTTGTTGCTTTGTTTTATAATATCTAAATACTATTGTTTTCTCTTTATATCTTGTCATTAACAATCAATACAAATAGTCAACTTGTTTATATTTACTGGCTGCTCCAGCTTAGGGTGCTTCTGTCTTCATTGCCAGTACAGTTACTGACCTACAGCAACTGTTACTTTATATTTCATTGCACACAGACAGTTCTCAGGATCTGGGACTGCTTGTTTTATGAGGGAGTCAAGGTTCTTCACAGAGTGGGCATCACCCTGGTCCTCAGGAACAAGGAGCAGATTCTCCACTCCAAGGGATTTGATGGAATCACCAAGGACTTCAAGGCAACAACCACAGACATAAGGAACTTGGAGTGTCATCAGCTGATGCAGGTGTGTGTGTGAGTGTGTGCGACGTGTGTATTTGTGCACATGTGTACGACGTATGTGTGCATTTGTTTGTGCAAGTGTTTGTGTGTGCATGTACATGTGTGTGTTTGTGCAAATAGCGTTCACATGCACATGTGGATATTGGGATAAAGTATGCAATAAATGCCTAAAATCTCATTTAGATTTGACTTTTCTTATTCCTTTAACTGCAATAGTTATTGTTGCATTTAGATTTAATATGTTGTCTTTACTAGGACATCTTTACAATTCCTGGATCATTCCCAAGAGCCAAAATCCAGGAATTGAGAGAGAAGTTTCTGAGGCTGAGACAAAACAGAGGAATGGGACTCCTTCAGGAAGATAATTTTTTGTGTCCTATAACACAGAGGAATGGGACTCCTTCAGGAGGATAATTTGATGTGTCCTATAACACAGAGGAATGGGACTCCTTCAGGAAGATAATTTGATGTGTCCTATAACACAGAGGAATGGGACTCCTTCAGGAAGATAATTTTTTGTGTCCTATAACACAGAGGAGTGGGACTCCATCAGGAGGATAATTTGATGTGTCCTGTAACACTGGCAGACAGCCATGAGACATACTCCCACCATTGAAATGGTACAGGAGTTCAATAAGTGATTTTCATTGGTAGAATATGTTCATGTACAGTATGGTTATTTTTCTGCACAAAAACATAATTTGAAGAAAAAAAATGTAGAAATCATTGCATATTTAATTGATTTATAATATCCTGTATTGGTATTGATGAATATTTTGGCAATATCTAAACAGTGAAATTTAACAGTGTGCATTATTGTAAATGATTATTTTGCAGTGAGAAGTTAGGTTACTATGTATTGATTTAATACTGACAAATTATCTAATATTCTACATGAAATGATGCCAGAGGCATTGATGTAGACTGTAGAAAGAGGTTATAAAATGTGCTATATAGTAACTATAAAAGGTTTAACATGTAGCCTTCAAGGTGTACTGAGTCAGAGGTATATATTTCAATGTTGAAATGGCATGTGATATGTAGTTTTCTTTCTCGGCTGCTAGTATTGTCAGTCATGGATGCAATGTGTGCCATAGTTACAGTATTATCTAGTCATAGTAAGGTGTACTTACCTGGCAGTGGGCTCAAATAAAAATTCTGAGAGACTGGCCACCAAGTATTTGGATGAAAACTCAGATTGATGAACATCTTAGGCAGACAGAAAGCTGGTACCAAATAGTTTCACCAGTGAAATGGTCTTAATCTCGATTTTAGATCACAGTTGTTCTTACATGGTCTTAATCATTATGGCAATGGTCTTACCATAGACTGGCTCTGCTTGTAAGATAAAAATTATCTGAACCTGGATGAGTTAGGCTATTATTAGACTAACTTCTGATTAAGTAGTCAGGCAATTACCTTCTCTCACAGTGGGTAAATGTGTGAGGAGAGACCACTGCATAACAACTAAACTGGAAGTCAGTAAAATAGTCATACTCATTGATTAAGATCATTTGCGATCTGAAATTGCAGATGAAGACCATTTCAGGCCCATTAGTGTTTGTTGTATGACAACCTAGTCATGTTTCCGTTTTCTGTGTAGGTGTAATTACAGGCTTTCTTGCTGAAATCCACGTTTGTTTGAATTTTTGGGACTATCATAGTGTGTAGCACATTTTGAATGTCAGTTTTTCATGACATCCAATCCAATTTGTCCATATACTTTTGTCTGATGCTTTGTATATTTGTGAAGCATCTATGAGAACTTTCTTATTAGAAATGATCACATTAATTAAGCAGTTAATTGTGACTGGTGCTCAGTGTTGCTGTGATCATAAAAATTATAATAATAGTAAATTATAACAGACCAAGTATCATAATAGCTAAGGTCATCATTTCTGGTGCTCTTTGCTTGTCAATGATTTTGACTTAGAGTTATGTAATAGATATGTTATTTGTAATATATATGTTATTTGTAATATATATATGTTTAGCTGTAGCATAATGGGAGTTTTTAAAAATTATTTAAATTAAATAATCTCATACCATTATGATCAAATCAGGGAACAAATATATGACAATCCATAACTATATCTGTTAGTATATACTAAGCTACCTTAATGGCTTTGGGTTCATGATATAAGTTGGTCTTAATCTGTTCAGATAATTATATACTAAGCTACCTTAATGTCATGGGAAGGCTCATATCCTCATGGCTTTGGGTTCATGATGCAAGTTGGTCTTAATCTGTTCAGATAATTATATACTAAGCTACCTTAATGTCATGGGAAGGCTCATATCCTCATGGCTTTGGGTTCATGATACAAGTTGGTCTTAATCTGTTCAGATAATTATATACTAAGCTACCTTAATGTCATGGGAAGGCTCATATCCTCATGGCTTTGGGTTCATGATACAAGTTGGTCTTAATCTGTTCAGATAATTATATACTAAGCTACCTTAATGTCATGGGAAGGCTCATATCCTCATGGCTTTGGGTTCATGATACAAGTTGGTCTTAATCTGTTCAGATAATTAGGTGAACAAATGGTGATCAGGGTGATAGACTTGAGATTAACTTTAGTTTTGTCAGCAGCTGAATTATAGTCCAACAAACATATCTGCAAGATGATGGCATCATTTTTGACACAACTTTGATACCTCTGCTTAATTCCCCCACTAGGTCACAGTGGGACATCGCAGATTGAAGCACAGCATATGGAGTCTAGTAATGTGTTGTTATCTTCATAAGGCCAATTTTTAGTCTCAGTCAAAAGGTTTTTTTTTCAATCTGTTATGATTAGTCAAAATTGAGAATTATGTCCAACTCTGATATATACTGGAACTTATTTTAACAACTGATTGTTGTGGTTTTAACCCGAGACTTTTCACTAGGTAATGACCTGGATGGAGTGATTTATTGTCATACAGTCAGTTGTCACTGGAAGTTCCAATATCAGAGTTTTACCAAATTCTCCTTGTAATTCTACTGGATAACTAAATCATTCACTCCTTAGTTAAAATCCATTGTCCATTTTTGGGGAGTCTCTGAGTTCTGGAGCCTTAGGCTTTTACTCCTAATGTAAGGAACAGATCATTGAAGGTGATAACTTGGAGATGGTGCTAATTGTGCAGTATTAATAATCTCGTCTGAATATTCATAAATTAGTTTATATTGACCATGTGCAATTTAGAAATAAAGATATCCCTTTTGATACAGTACGGCTTTGTAGTAGTGGTGTGTTTTAAAACAGTGTGCAGACTCCATTGTAACTGTTTGATGAAATCATCTTGTTAGCACAGTTTCAATTGTTCTTCTACAGTGCCAAGCTTGTTTCAACTTACTAAATAGCCAAATACATCTTCCCACTTTTTCCAGATTTTTTCCCTATTCCTGGAATTGTGAGGCACTGGGAGTATTACCTTGAACATAAACAAGTTTTCATTTTATGCACAGAATCTGTTTATATAAAGCAATTGCAATACTTGCCTTACTTTTGTAAGAGAGAATTGCCAACTATAATTCCTTCTAGTTGGAAATTCTTCAATTTTGGAATACAGAGAAAAGTATGACAAGTTTCAAGATATGCAGGAAAAAATGTAATGCCATAAACAATAGACATATTTTATTAAGTTACTACTAGTATAGCAGATGAAGATCTGAAAGTAGACAGCTTCAAAAAGTTTTATTTTCTAAATTACTGAGCAGTAACAAAGAATTTCATACTTGGTGCAATTTATCTTCATCAAATAATTTTCATATATGTCAAATAATTTTCAAATATGTCAAATATTTCAAACATGTCATCACATGCACAGCATCCTCCAGTGGACTTTTTCCACAATGAAGCATATCTGGCCACATCAGGCCTGTAATATTGTACTTAATCCTTCTTGTGAGTAAGGCTATAATGTATTCAGACTGTTAACAAAAACAATGAATAAAAAAAACTGATTAAAGGGAGTCTATGCAAATATGAGTGATACAAAACATGACAAAAATGCAATAACTAATCAATAACAATGATCCAAGTCTATTCATTATTTTTTTTTATCTTGAAATGCACTTTAACAAATAAAATGCCCCAGTTTATTTTCAGTCACTGAGAAACAGTTCTGCCTTTATACAGTCAACAAATAAGATCACTTAGACTGGGACAAAGTACTTCAAAGACAGAAAAAGTTAACAGTAAAACAAGTGAAAAGACAGAATATAAATCTCAATATTAAAAAATATTGTTTTGGTTTTGATGATTAACAAATTATAACAGTACAATAAGATATGTTAAGACAATGTAATACTCATCTATGGACTGGAGTGATTCTGCTGTCAGAACTCCTGCTGAACTTCTTCATCTGGAATTGTACAGAACTGGGGCAGAATATAAAATGAGGTCACAACTACCCCGAGTACCTGCACCAAGAAAGACTAGAATAAAGGGATTAATATGAATTATAATTTCAGGCACCATTTATTTTGAGGTATATTAGTAAGGAATCAATTTAACAACAACACTTCTTTAAGCATGTTAAGCAAAAATTAAATATGGCACAACAAAAGGCAAACATGAGACAATTGCTAGAAAGATCAAATGCTGGATCCAACCAACCAGTTCCTCCATAGTAACAGAAGGGAGTGCGATACTGGGCCAACATAAAAAAACATTGTGTAAATATAACAATGGGCTCTGATCCTTGTCCTGCTGACCACCCTACATACAATGTTAGCAGGCCCTGATCCTTGTTCTGTTGACCACCTTACATACAATGTTAGCAGGCCCTGGTCCTTGTCCTGCTGACCACCCTACATACAATGTTAGCAGGCCCTGATCCTTGTTCTGTTGACCACTTTACATACAATGTTAGCAGGCCCTGGTCCTTGTCCTGCTGACCACCCTACATACAATGTTAGCAGGCCCTGATCCTTGTTCTGTTGACCACCCTACATACAATGTTAGCAGGCTGAGTGTTATATGAGTTACATACAATGTTAGCAGGCTGAGTGTTACATGATGGACAGGTTGAACTACATTGAAAATGTAATTATAATGGTTCACAACAAATAATCATGATATACAAACTTTCTGGTAAACAAATGAGACAATTAATATGGCACAGCACACAACAAAAATACTGGAGTATATTGGTAAGTAATCCTTACTATTACTTTATAATGAAAAATATCTGTGAGGATAGAATATGGCAGTTTATATGTAAACTTGATTAAAATCATAAACATTAATTTCACTGATGAGGTAATATCTATGTTGTCTTCAACACCCATACAAAGCTATGGAATAACCATTTGTTAAAGAATTTTCTGATAGAAATACTGTAAAACATTTAAAAGATTTAAATTTTAAAAATATTTAAAGCTACATTTGTAAGCGCAAGTGAATGAGATCAGCAACCAATTAAAAGTTCTTATGAGGTATTCTGGCTATCTGCTGGCATTCACAGGTCATTGGAAAATTACAATATAGTATAAATGTAATTGCATGGGACAAATTCCCAATCAATATGTGCATATGGTATAATTATTACTGCATGGGACATAAATTCCCAATCAATATATGCATATGGCATAATTATAACTGCATGGGACATAAATTCCCAATCAATATATGCACATGGCATAATTATAACTGCATGGGACATAAATTCCCAATCAATATATGCATATGGTATAATTATTACTGCATGGGACATAAATTCCCAATCAATATACAATCATATATAAGATATAACAAACTCACATTAATCAATGGCTCACTAAAATATCAGGTCTTATAACTGGTTTATCTCTTCATAGGATAATTAACTCATGTTTTCAAACCCTGGTTCTCTGAAGTAAGCTTCTGTTTAATACTCACATGGACAAGTACTAGAACACACACACTCTCATGTGCAGACACACACATACACCTAGACTGCCTCTGGTCCAACAATAAGGTTTTAAATCTAATAACATGTTAAATAATATAATAATTTACTCTAAAAGCACATTCAGAGTAAGTTGATCCAAATATGTTCAACCCACATAAAAGCAATACCACTTTATTCCCTGATGGTCACCTCTACACGTTTCATTCCTGCAGGGGTCTAGCAATTAAACCCCGGAGCCAAGATTTAATCCATTTCTTGGCACATATAGAGGCGGGAACACCATTAGGGGATTAGGCAGCTTGCTTAGAAGTGGGGTTGGCCATTTTTATACCACAAATCATCAATTCTGAATGTGCTCTAAATTGACAATATTTTTCTGATCCCATGGGAGTTCACCTGGCCGGTCATCCCGCAGAGTTCACCTGGCTGGTCATCCCGCAGAGTTTGCCTGGCTGGTCATCCCGCAGAGTTCACCTGGCCGGTCATCCCGCAAAGTTCACCTGGTTGGTCATCCTAAGTGCACCTGGCTTGTCATCCTGAAGAGTTCCCCTGGTTGGTCATCCCGCAGAGTTCGCCTGGCTGGTTATCCCGCAGAGTTCACCTGGCTGGTCATCCGGCAGAGTTCACCTGGCTGGTCATCCCGCAGAGTTCACCTGGCTGGTCATCCTGCAGAGTTCACCTGGCTGGTCATCCCGCAGAGTTCACCTGGCTGGTCATCCTGCAGAGTTCACCTGCCTGGTCATACCGCAGAGTTCACCTGGCCGGTCATCCCGCAGAGTTCACATGGCCGGTTATCCCACAGAGTTCACCTGGCTGGTCATCTCAACCAGTCCAGGTTTACCACTGTGTTGGAGTGCACATTGTGACCCAATGAATGGCAGTTTCCAGATGCTGACAGCAGGAAGAGTTAGATGCTACAAAACAGCATGAGATGTTTTCATAGAAAGCCATCAACCAGTTTTGTTAGTTAAAAACTGTCCTATTCTAGTCTAGGACAGGTGTTCCAAGAGAGTAGAGCATCTCTGATAATCTCTTATCAGGTGATATTTATCTTCCTTAAACATTTGTTTTTCACGAACAACACCTGCAGTGTGTTCTCACATTTTTTCTCTTCTATAATAGAAAAAAATATCCAAGAGACAGTCATTGTCATGTATCCCATGTTTTTTAAACAACAGTTTCTAAATTCCTCTATAATTTTCGAAGACATCATGATTTTCTGTTCTTAGGAAACATCCTAAACACTTTGGGCTTCAGGAGTTATAGGTTGATCTGGTGAAACAATCTTCCCCATTTCAATCTCTTTTTTGGTGACGCCCCTCTTCTTGTCCTGCCAGCGCTGCACTTGTGGGATTACAAACAGCATCATTCCACTGAGGGCCACCATGGACCCGGTGATGTAGAAGGCTATATCATAACTATTGGTGCCATCAAACACCCATCCTGGGGAAAAATAACATATTATTATTATTCTACTTATACAAACAGTATCAGCATCAGTGACAATAATATTAGTAATACATCAGTTCTAAACAGTTCTGTATGATACCAAACCTGTGCCCCAATACTGGCAACATGCTACCTCCACTATCAGCAAAAAATAAGTCATATGATGACTGTTGGTTGGACTTTTTTTCTTAAAACCATAAAAAATTAAATGCTACTTTTACCTATTACCTTGTGTGTGAATAAATATATATGATAAAACAAGCATGTGTACTGACTTGGTGTACACTGTCACCATTTGCATGGATGAGGGTGGTGGATGTAGACAGATGACTTACCCACAATAGGACCACCAATGAGGGTGGTGGATGTAGACAGATGACTTACCCACAACAGGACGACCAATGAGTGTGGTGGATGTAGACAGATGACTTACCCACAACAGGAGGACCAATGAGTGTGGTGGATGTGGACAGATGACTTACCCACAATAGGAGGACCAATGAGTGTGGTGGATGTGGACAGATGACTTACCCACAATAGGAGGACCAATGAGTGTGGTGGATGTGGACAGATGACTTACCCACAATAGGAGGACCAATGAGTGTGGTGGATGTGGACAGATGACTTACCCACAATAGGAGGACCAATGAGTGTGGTGGATGTGGACAGATGACTTACCCACAATAGGAGGACCAATGAGTGTGGTGGATGTGGACAGATGACTTACCCACAATAGGAGGACCAATGAGTGTGGTGGATGTGGACAGATGACTTACCCACAATAGGAGGACCAATGAGTGTGGTGGATGTGGACAGATGACTTACCCACAATAGGAGGACCAATGAGTGTGGTGGATGTGGACAGATGACTTACCCACAATAGGAGGACCAATGAGTGTGGTGGATGTGGACAGATGACTTACCCACAATAGGAGGACCAATGAGTGTGGTGGATGTGGACAGATGACTTACCCACAATAGGAGGACCAATGAGTGTGGTGGATGTGGACAGATGACTTACCCACAATAGGAGGACCAATGAGTGTGGTGGATGTGGACAGATGACTTACCCACAATAGGAGGACCAATGAGTGTGGTGGATGTGGACAGATGACTTACCCACAATAGGAGGACCAATGAGTGTGGTGGATGTGGACAGATGACTTACCCACAATAGGAGGACCAATGAGTGTGGTGGATGTGGACAGATGACTTACCCACAATAGGAGGACCAATGAGTGTGGTGGATGTGGACAGATGACTTACCCACAATAGGAGGACCAATGAGTGTGGTGGATGTGGACAGATGACTTACCCACAATAGGAGGACCAATGAGTGTGGTGGATGTGGACAGATGACTTACCCACAATAGGAGGACCAATGAGTGTGGTGGATGTGGACAGATGACTTACCCACAATAGGAGGACCAATGAGTGTGGTGGATGTGGACAGATGACTTACCCACAATAGGAGGACCAATGAGTGTGGTGGATGTGGACAGATGACTTACCCACAATAGGAGGACCAATGAGTGTGGTGGATGTGGACAGATGACTTACCCACAATAGGAGGACCAATGAGTGTGGTGGATGTGGACAGATGACTTACCCACAATAGGAGGACCAATGAGTGTGGTGGATGTGGACAGATGACTTACCCACAATAGGAGGACCAATGAGTGTGGTGGATGTGGACAGATGACTTACCCACAATAGGAGGACCAATGAGTGTGGTGGATGTGGACAGATGACTTACCCACAATAGGAGGACCAATGAGTGTGGTGGATGTGGACAGATGACTTACCCACAATAGGAGGACCAATGAGTGTGGTGGATGTGGACAGATGACTTACCCACAATAGGAGGACCAATGAGTGTGGTGGATGTGGACAGATGACTTACCCACAATAGGAGGACCAATGAGTGTGGTGGATGTGGACAGATGACTTACCCACAATAGGAGGACCAATGAGTGTGGTGGATGTGGACAGATGACTTACCCACAATAGGAGGACCAATGAGTGTGGTGGATGTGGACAGATGACTTACCCACAATAGGAGGACCAATGAGTGTGGTGGATGTGGACAGATGACTTACCCACAATAGGAGGACCAATGAGTGTGGCAATCCCCTGGAACATTAGCACAAGTCCAAAGGAACTAGTCAGTCTTTCCAGGCCCAGCAAGTCCACCAATATCACACTGGTCAAGCCAACATAGGCACCTGAAGTCAAAAACCAAGTCTTCAACTCATGGAATGTAACAAGTATCAGTCAAGTAAGGCATCTGAAGTCAAAAACCAAATCTGCAGTATCTCTGCTCATGGTACACCAAAAGTATCAGCTAAACATAAACATGTAAATTTATAAGCTGACAGTTATAATTATAAAATAATATGTTGGCTATCTCATTTCTGTAACATTTATGCCTGGATTTCAAACACAGAAGAAAAAAATGAAAAGGGACCTTTTTTCTTCAAAATACAGCCAGTAAATTCTGCTCAACTTGCAGTCCAGCATTTGCATCAAAACTGAGTAGATAACATACCCCTTTAATTTAGTGCAAACACTTTATGGTTTACCTGTGCGACAAAGACATAACAAAAATAGGCTGCTCTAAATATGTCCATCTGATAAAAATCAGAAAACCAATGGACATTGGAAATAATAGAACTGGGTCAATTTTCAACTGTGGCATGTATTTTAGCCTAGCAGAAGATTTCCAATGCTATGAAAATCAATTTATTATTCTTTGGAGGTCCAATATAATAATCTGTCTTGCTTCAAATAAAAGGACATGAACATGCCAAGTTAAGCAGCTTCTTCCCCTGCTCTTCACTTACCTATAAAGCAGCCAAATGTACAAGCATACACCATCATCAGAGGGTAGGACTTCATAAAAGAGCTGAACACGGTGGCTACACCACATATGGTCAGGGTAATGTTATACAGCCAGAGTCTGTTCACCCACTTCCAGTCAGACATCAGACCAAACACAATCCTGCCTACAGTGTTTCCTATGCCAACTCCTGACAGCAGCCAGGCCGCAGAGTGTTCATCATAGCCTTCCTGCAGAGCACGGTCTGGGATATAGATGAAGGGGGCATTGAACCCTATACTGGTCAGGAAGTTGGAAATGGCAAATATGATGAAGACCCAGTCCTTGAGGAGGGTGAAATCCATCATTTCAAGGAAAGAGTCCTTCATCTGAGTGCAGAAGCCCACCGGTTCATCTGTTTCTGAAGGTGGAACTACATGAGGTATTGACAAAACACTTGCCTGGTAGACGCTGACATTGGAACGATAAAGAGGGATATTACGCAGACTTCCCACATAGAGGACATCTTTCCTCTGCATGACAGTGTGGTGTGGCTTAAAGCCAAGGTGAGACAGACTACGAACAACAGAGGGTGAGCGCGGGTCTTCCACTATAACATTGCCACTGCGAATATCACTCTCACTTTTGATCATAGATGGCGGCAGTGGTGTCTGAACTGTTACTGTGTGGGACTCAGATGCAGTGCTACGGCTCCGTAACAACGGCTTCTGTGCTGACCCCTGTCCATTCTTCACTGTGGCAGCTTTAACATCTCCATCTTTGTCTATTTTACCTAATTTCTTTCTCAAACGTTTCTCAATACGTGCCTCCCTCATTTCACGCTGCTCTCGGGCTGAATATAAAGGTCTGAATACAGCACCACACAGAATACAGTTGAGGATAAGACCAGCCTGTATGAGGACAGCCCCCCGCCAGCCATACTCATGGACTAACTCAGTGGAGAAGGGGGCAAAGATGAAGGTGCCCAGCCCACTCCCACACACTGCAAGGCCAGTGGCAAACGCACGGCGCTTCTCAAAGTAGAATCCCACACTGACGATGGCTGGGAGGTAGATCAGACCAAACCCTAGACCTGAAGAACAATGGAACAAATGGATCAGATATCTAAGTAGAATCCCACACTGATGATGGCTGGGAGGTAGATCAGACCAAACACCAGACCGGACGAACAATGGAACAAATGGATCAGATATCAAAGTAGAATCCCACACTAATGATGGCTGGGAGGTAGATCAGACCATATCCCAGACCTGAAGAACAATGGAACAAATGGATCAGATATCAAAGTAGAATCCCACACTGACGATGGCTGGGAGGTAGATCAGACCAAACCCCAGACCTGAAGAACAATGGAACAAATGGATCAGATATCTAAGTAGAATCCCACACTGATGATGGCTGGGAGGTAGATCAGACCAAACACCAGACCGGACGAACAATGGAAAAAATGGATCAGATATCAAAGTAGAATCCCACACTAATGATGGCTGGGAGGTAGATCAGACCATATCCCAGACCTGAAGAACAATGGAACAAATGGATCAGATATCAAAGTAGAATCCCACACTGACGATGGCTGGGAGGTAGATCAGACCAAACCCCAGACCTGAAGAACAATGGAACAAATGGATCAGATATCTAAGTAGAATCCCACACTGATGATGGCTGGGAGGTAGATCAGACCAAACACCAGACCGGACGAACAATGGAAAAAATGGATCAGATATCAAAGTAGAATCCCACACTAATGATGGCTGGGAGGTAGATCAGACCATATCCCAGACCTGAAGAACAATGGAACAAATGGATCAGATATCAAAGTAGAATCCCACACTGACGATGGCTGGGAGGTAGATCAGACCAAACCCCAGACCTGAAGAACAATGGAACAAATGGATCAGATATCTAAGTAGAATCCCACACTGATGATGGCTGGGAGGTAGATCAGACCAAACACCAGACCGGACGAACAATGGAAAAAATGGATCAGATATCAAAGTAGAATCCCACACTAATGATGGCTGGGAGGTAGATCAGACCATATCCCAGACCTGAAGAACAATGGAACAAATGGATCAGATATCAAAGTAGAATCCCACACTGACGATGGCTGGGAGGTAGATCAGACCAAACCCCAGACCTAAAGAACAATATAACAAATGAATCAGAAATCAGAGGATGAAAGTGAAATAACAGTGTTTTTCTAATTGAACATATTGTCCCATAAAATGTCTTCAACATCTTATTATTTTGTGACAGTTGTAACATTTATCATGTAAAAAAGAAACTGTGAAGTTTCAATAGTATGATGTTAACTGGCATGCTTGCATTGAAAATAATACGTATTTCCTTTTAATATTGTTAAAATGCATTTTGTATGATCACAGAGCTGAGACTTAATTCAAGACTGATGGGACAAAAGCATTTTATAACACTAATCTCACCTAGAAGTATCATGCCAACTCAACAGTAAATTATCTGATCAATACTATACAATGAATGACTCTGGTTAGGTCCAGCCCAGCTGAGTCAAACATGCACCAATGGTATATAATCACTCATATGTTTTGAAATTCTTAGATAAGCCACTGCCTGATACACTGTACTTCAATCTGGTAGTATTATGGTATACAATGTTGTACAGTAACTGTATTATTATTGTTTTAGCAGATATTACTGTCTTCTTACCTCCAACAATTCCAAATGTAAAGTACAGCATGTATAAGTTTGGAGAAAAAATGCTGACAATGAACCCCACAGCAGCCAGTGCGGCCCCTGCTATTGTTGTCACCCGGCAACCGTACTTGGATGTGAAGGCACTTGCCACTGGACCTGAAAAGACACACAGGGATAAACCTTGTTTTTTTTCTAACCACCAACTATAATTAACCATACTTGGATGTGAAGGCAGTTGCCACTGGACCTGAAAAGACACACTGGGATAAAGCTTATTCTTTTTCTAACTACTAACTATAATTAACGGAGCATCAGTAAAATATAATTGATTCTAAGTTGGCCCATATTTCTGAGCTGTCTGGAAAATTTTGAGTTAGGCTGTTAGATAACAAACCAGGTAGAAACATAATACTAGATTTTTATTCAAATGCTACGTTTACATTATAAAATAGAAAAGGGAAACAAGCACACAGATAATATATGTCTTATTAATTAAAAGCAAAAAAAAAAAAAAAAAATCATAGTGAAGCAAACATGGCAGATATAAATGCTAAGTGTTCAATTCCTTCATTCATCCTCAAAACATATATATACACCCTCCAAATAAAAATTAATAATATCATATTATCTCTGCCTTCCAAACACGTAAACATTGAAGTAAGACAGGAAAAACTTGTTGGCATTCATATGAATAGTAAATTAACTTACCTGGAGAGATAACACCATAAAGAGCATATACTAAATAAATCATGACAAAGACTGAATTGTTTAAGATCACTCAGGACTTTACTGACAGTGGTCTTATTTTAGTCAACTTAACAGGTGTGTGATCAAAAGTATTCTGACATATGACATTACAATTTGGTAAATCGGGACTACTGGGGAGGAATGTAAAAAAAACTAAGAAATAAGTACTACTAATGTTGTTAAAACTGCAGGTAAGATTATTGGACAGAATCTCCTCAAGCTGAGTGATATTTTTAAATTATTGGACAGAATCTCCTCAAGCTGAGTGATATTTTTAAGATTATTGGACAGAATCTCTTAAGCTGAGTGATATTTTAAAGGCCAGATAGGGTAAAAAAGAATGAAAGCAACATGGAGGACTCTTCTTCCCCAGCACCACTGTTTACCTTTTGACCTGGCAGCAGTAGGCTCTTTCAAAACAGTGTTTATCCAAAGCCAGGAACACATCTTAATTTGTTTTTTTTTTTCTTAATTCATTTATTGCGTTTCTTTTACTTTGTACATTTATAAAACTTTGCTCCAAAGGCAAACGATTTTCAGTTTTTGTAACTAGCTGAATAAATTCTTATCTCATCTTATCAGAGGACAAAATTAATATCATACATTTGAGCACCCTAAATCACTGTTGCATTTCTTTTCATCTGAATAATAATAGTCAAAATAATGCATTTGTCCTACTGTCTAAAATTAAAACAAATGATAATAATAGCTACATTTCACAAAAATAAATAATACATTTTACATGAAACAATAAGATGTCTAAAAAACAGATATAAGTATCATATGTATCATATGTATCAGGGAGTTACATCCTACGTCTTACTAACACAGCTGTCATCAATTGTGGACTCATTATTCTACCCAATCCTGTGGTGTTTTGCCCTCATTACCCTCCTGTTAACAGCATACAAACACACTTAAATACATAATCTTTAATATTTCCAACAGGCCCAATTATGTATACAAGCAATAGACATGTAATTCCTGCATAGTGATCAGCATGATAACTGTTAAAGATTGAACTAATTATGCACATAATCATTAGTCATGTGTATTTTGTGCTGAAGGCAGTGTGAACATGTGGAGAAACATGACAGAAAGGATTACCCATGCTAAATATACAAGACGTACCCTGTACCAGAGCCACAGAGACTTTTTTCACCAAACCACAGGAGCTGCACTCCCATATCTAGAGTATGCTGAAGGGATGGAAAAGTCTTGAACCTTTGTCCTTTTTATGTACATAATTGTACTCAATATTATAATTGCATGTAGGAAGTATATATTGTGACTTTCTTGTTCCCAAATATGCCCAAAATAAAGCAAGTGAAAAACTGCTGAATAATATGCCCCAATTCTAGTGTGCCTCAGTGAGTTCTTTGATACATGCTCCACAAGAGGCAGGTATGTTACACATGACACCAAGTTTCATCTTGGTCTGGAAAGAACCCCAAGCTCCAGAGTTTAAACTAATATTAGTTGTCAGCAAAGATTTTTGAAAATCATATTCTTTGGGAAAATTGGTCAGGTTTGTTGAGTCAACTGTACAAAGGCAAGAGACGTCTCCTAAGTGTGTGACTGTGTGGAGAGGCTAACTTAACTGAGGTCTATAGCTAACTTAACTGAGGTCTATAGCTAACTTAACTGAGGTCTATAGCTGTCAGGTTTGTTGAGTCAACTGTACAAAGGCAAGAGATGTCTCCTAAGTGTGTGACTGCTTATCTAGACACAGTCAGATAAGTGAGCTATAGATATTATGTAAAGAACACCAAATTGTTTGCTGCACGAAAACCAAAGATTTCCTTCCTCTGGAGTAGATATATATAATTGGTTTTTCAAATTTTCAACAATGAGGTGCAATGAGACATTAAAAAAAAGGCATCATTGCCTAGCTGGCCTAGACCAAGACGTTAGAAGAGGGTTCATTGACTGCATGTCTTCAAGGGTACTTGACACCATTCAGGGGCTCACTCTCAGGTCTCCCCTAATAGCCCTCCCACCACAGTAGTGTATTTAACCAAGCAAAGGTCAGGATTATCTTATCTCGGCCTCTCTTGTACAAATCATTTCAAGTAGATGCGGAAGTAATCTGGGTGAACTGTATGGGAGAGAAAAGACCCCTAGATCTTGGCAGAGTCAGGCTGACGCTGCCACCCGGCTGATTACCTGCCAATACGACATGTACATTTGAACTAAAGCAAATGTTTATTCCTTGTCTCTTAGATATAACACGAGATTCTGGAATTGTGAATCACAGCAGAGAAAACGATTTGAGTTATGAGTTAAGAAGTGAATCAAATGTATTCCGTCTTATCCCAGACTTGACCTGATGTTATTTCACCAGCCCAAATTGTATTCAGTCTTATCCCAGACTTGACCAGATGTTATTTCACCAGCCCAAATTGTATTCTGTCTTATCCCAGACTTGACCTGAAGTTATTTCACCAGCCCAAATTGTATTCTGTCTTATCCCAAATTTAACCTGAAGTTATTTCACCAGCCCAAATTGCCCCACAACAAGGACACACATCATGTCACCCTCACTGCACATTACAAACTATGCTTGAAATAAAACGGATCACTTTCCTCAAACACATTGTGTGCTAATGACACCTTTTTATATAGGAATACCTGTGTCAATGATATAGCAGAGGAAGCATTGGAATGATGTAACCCTTTGGCAAGGAAAACATTTCAAGATTTTTTCTATCAGTGCTGCCTATCAACACATATTAGAACATTAATTAGTTGCTCTTCCAAAAATATCAAAAAGCCATATCATCAAAAAATGAATATATACCAAGATTCACACCAAAAACAAATACTAAATAAGACGTCTTACATAAATGAATCACAGAATGGACTATATTGTATATTATCTTCTGACCCCAGTTTCATAAAAACACTTAAGTCAGTTCCCTGGTTAACATCTTTGTTACCAATGATACATGGTCACATGTACCCATATTACCCTATCAGGAACTGTGTAACAGCAATCTTATAGAAACATGCTTACATTGAAGTCAACTAAAGATATGCAATTTTGTGAAACAGGGGGCTGATGTTCAGAAGTCATGAGATAAGCAGCTGCAGTCCAGACAAAAAAAGGTACCAGTAGATAAGGAGCCAGACATATCAACTGCAACCTGGCTGATTGTATTTTGGATTCCGATTCCAAGATCAAGTTCTTGACCTTTTAAGGGGCAGAATTTCAATGTCTGACATTCAGACAGACTCTGGATTAAGCAACAGTAAAATTAGCCTCTCCATACAGATACAGCCATATAGACCATATGCAGTAAAGTTAGCCTCTCCATACAGATACAGCTATAGACTAAATTTGGTAAAGTTAGCCTCTCCATACAGATACAGCCATACAGACCATGTGCAGTAAAGTTAGCCTCTCCATACAGATACAGCTATAGACTAAATTTAGTAAACTTAGACTTTCCATACAGATACAGCCATATAGACCATATGCAGTAAAGATAGCCTCTCCATACAGATACAGTTATAGACTAAATTTAGGAAACTTAGCCTCTCCATACAGATACAGCCATATAGACCATATGCAGTAAAGTTAGCCTCTCCATACAGATACAGCTATAGACCACAGTAAAGTTAGCCTTTCCATACAGATACAGCTATAGACCACAGTAAAGTTAGCCTCTCCATACAGATACAGCTATAGACCTCAGTAAAGTTAGCCTCTCCATACAGATACAGCTATAGACCTCAGTAAAGTTAGCCTCTCCATACAGATACAGCTATAGACCTCAGTAAAGTTAGCCTCTCCATACAGATACAGCTATAGACCTCAGTAAAGTTAGCCTCTCCATACAGATACAGCTATAGACCTCAGTAAAGTTAGCCTCTCCATACAGATACAGCTATAGACCTCAGTAAAGTTAGCCTCTCCATACAGATACAGCTATAGACCTCAGTAAAGTTAGCCTCTCCATACAGATACAGCTATAGACCTCAGTAAAGTTAGCCTCTCCATACAGATACAGCTATAGACCTCAGTAAAGTTAGCCTCTCCATACAGATACAGCTATAGACCTCAGTAAAGTTAGCCTCTCCATACAGATACAGCTATAGACCTCAGTAAAGTTAGCCTCTCCATACAGATACAGCTATAGACCTCAGTAAAGTTAGCCTCTCCATACAGATACAGCTATAGACCTCAGTAAAGTTAGCCTCTCCATACAGATACAGCTATAGACCTCAGTAAAGTTAGCCTCTCCATACAGATACAGCTATAGACCTCAGTAAAGTTAGCCTCTCCATACAGATACAGCTATAGACCTCAGTAAAGTTAGCCTCTCCATACAGATACAGCTATAGACCTCAGTAAAGTTAGCCTCTCCATACAGATACAGCTATAGACCTCAGTAAAGTTAGCCTCTCCATACAGATACAGCTATAGACCTCAGTAAAGTTAGCCTCTCCATACAGATACAGCTATAGACCTCAGTAAAGTTAGCCTCTCCATACAGATACAGCTATAGACCTCAGTAAAGTTAGCCTCTCCATACAGATACAGCTATAGACCACAGTAAAGTTAGCCTCTCCATACAGATACAGCTATAGACCACAGTAAAGTTAGCCTCTCCATACAGATACAGCTATAGACCACAGCAAAGTTAGCCTCTCCATACAGATACAGCTGTAGACCACAGTGAAGTTAGCCTCTCCATACAGATACAGCTATAGACCTCAGTAAAGTTAGCCTCTCCATACAGATACAGCTATAGACCTCAATAAAGTTAGCCTCTCCATACAGATACAGCTATAGACCACAGTAAAGTTAGTCTCTCTATAAAGATACAGCTATAGACCTTAGTAAAATTGAAATACTATATGTTAAACTATTATTACCTGTTAATAAAGTGATCCCAGGGACCAAGGATCCCACCCATGCTGTCTCCCCCTTGCTGCCTTTGAAATCCTCCAGGAATTCCACATAGAATATCCCAAATGAGTAGACAATGCCGTCCGCCAGGATGTGAATGAGAAACGAGGAAAACACCACTACCCATCCCCAACCTCCATCTGGGGGGATGATTAGGTCATCTCGGTCCACCTCTGCGTCCTCTTGGTCCACTTTGGAGTCATTTGTGTCTACTGTGGCCACGTTGACAGCAGTGTTTTTCTGCTCCTGCTCCATTTGGAAAGTTTCAGCAGTTGAGAGGAGTGTAGTAACCAGTGGTTCTGGTCTGTGTATAGAGAGCTGAGAACTTCTTCCAGTTGATCCAGTGGCTTGGCAAATACGTCTGGTGTGTGAATTTTCTTGACATGGATAAAGAGAAAAAAAATTCATACATTAAAAACCATGCTGCTTCACCGGCTGCTACTCTTTTTCTCTCTCTCTCTTAATTTTCTCTACAGTTACTTTTTAAGAAGTGAGGTTTCTATGGCTGCAAATCACAACTTGATCTTATATTATTAAAATACTTCATGTTCAAGATAAATGAGTACTAAAACATATTAAACTTTGAAGTTACATATTCACCTGTATTGTTGCAGCTATATTTCCAGAGATCGATGTTCTTAGTTACATCAGGTGTGTATCTGGCCAGTCATAGTCTCCTGTAGATATGGAAAACTTGGTCACTGAGCGGCTGTATTTACTTAATATGTATAGCCAGCTATTATAACAGCCAGTTCAGTCTGCCCAATCTTCTACAGCCCTGCCCTTGAGCCAACAGTACCCTGTGGTCCACTCTCTCACTATGAACACACTCTAAGCTCCCAGTCCAGCTTGCCTCATGTGCTCACTATCTTATGTACAGCATACACAGATTTAGACCAGGCTCTTTATCTGAAGTCCGTCTTAGTAAAGGTCACATGTTTTTCCTCCTGTGTAAATACCATCTGGTACTTACTATCGTTGTTCCACCAGCCCTTCAGGTCACCTATCAGCCTCTCCGCTGGCCCTGCCACCTGCAACGATGACTCAAATGCTAGTTTCCACATAAGGCTTACTTAAATACATGCACAAAAGTGGATATATACAATATGCTAATCTAAGCTATTGTGGTATTTTTTGCTTTACAACTTACATAAACCATATGAACCTCCAGGAAAAAGTTGACAAAAAAATCAAACAGTTTTTTAAATCCTTTTCCTTTGATGAAAAAAAAAAACATTTAAGTGTGCATGACAAAATGCTATTAAAAGGCAATAAACTTTCATCTTTTTTTCTAAATAATTTTTTTTTTGTAACATTTCGACTCACTAGAAAAAAGAGCAACATTTTCTTTTACTGAAATTATGTAGGCCAATATTTCTACACACATTATATTTCATTGCCAGACCGCTGAAAGCTCAAAGAGGAGGTACTAATGGTGTGCCCTGTATATAGTAAACTTCCAATTCAAAATGATGCAGCAGTCTAAAAGTTGTCATTAATTTTAAAACTTGTAACTTACTAGTAACACTTACTTTGTTTTATACTGTAATTTAGTATTTTTCAGTTTGATATAGCTCACTGAAAGAATATTTTTTACATAGCATGCAATAGTGACCCTTCCTCAAAACAGCTACTACAATTATGGTAAAAGCATTATAAAATTAAAAATTAGATATGAGTACAGTAATTCCAACCACCATAACAAGAAGTAAATATTACAGACATTCACTGTGTTAATACATGCAATGAAACCTGCTACTGCACGGTGTGCTACTTCAAGTGTACTAGTAAAGTTTTAAATAAGTGCAATAACAATTACTTCTTTTTGAACTTTTCTGTTGACAAGCAATACTTTTTCATCATTTTCAACAGATAACATGAATTAATATCACTAAGATAATTGAAATGATCATCTCCTGACAACTATCTTTTAAACACAGTTTAATTTTGAATCATGTGCAACCAGGTCAGTGCAAGGAGTGAATTTGGAAGGATATATATATATTGAGATTTGAAAAACTCACAAAAAAGCATGTTTCAATGACATTTTTATTTTCCCAGATAATAGATTGTTATGGGGAGTGTGTGAAAGGTAGGATTAGATAAAGACTGGTTACTAGTAGTTGAAGAAAATTCTGTTTACCCCAAGAAAATTGTCAAATAAGAGTTTTTCACAGAAAAAAATATATCTCTGCACATCTGTAACTGACACTGGCGGCAGCCATTCCCAATTCTTGACCTTCATTGAACTTAAGTGCACTACTGTAGACCAACTACTTCAGCTGGTGTCTCTTTAGGTATCTATACAGTACTAGTACTTGGTATTCCACTCAACTTTTGTTATCAATAACTTTTTTTTGGTGGATGCATGCAGTTGGTTGGTTAAGGCTTCGAAGTACCTAGGTATGATATGAGATACAAACAAATGAAATGGAATAAACTAGTAATAAATTCACTAGAGCCCGTGCCTGTGACTGTAAAACATGTGATATTAGTGACAGCTGATTGTTAAGCACATGTTAATGCTGGCTCAGCATATCTGGCACATGACTGGTATCTGAAGGATAGGGGTCAATGGTAGCACCTCACCTGGGGGGAATCTTCAATGAGCACTTTATCCTGGGTATATTATTATAGGGCAACAAGTAAAACAAGCTTGAAAGATTTAGGAAATATATGCTTTAAAAATAGGTGAAAAGAGAAATTCAATTGCAAAAGAATAGCCAAAATGGAAATAACTTTAATAAAATAGATGACGTTCTTAACATCCCTTAAACCACCCAGGTCCAGAATAGTCACTAACACAGAATTCATATTACATTATTACCATGTACAAACAGTGTACTACTGTATTTCAGTTTACTACGAGCCTCAGTATCTTCAGATAGGATTAGACTACAGCCAAGTATTTATAGATTCTGAAGCTATAACTTCATAAGCAAGTTTAATGCATGCTCACAATTTTTTCTCCTATATTCAAAATAGAAAAAAAAAGGAATTAAAAGATGTTCCAAGGAAATAAAAAAGGGAATATCTATAAAACATTGGAAATAAAAAAAAACTTTATGCCTTAACTGAAAATACAATACACAGAAGGGGAACACAATTCTCTGTTGCTTACTTCATGTGATTATGTTATTTGTTGAGACAAGGTTGCAAAAAACGCCTAAATAAAAAAGGGCGCACCTGGTATTTATAAAACCCGCATTCATATTGCTGATACAGACGCACATCAATAAAGCTTTTTTTAACAAATAAGCTTATCTACTTAGAATCTGGAACAATCTATGTCGAGATACAATGGAGCAAAATGCGGAGAAGTTATATGTTACTTCACTGTACTTAAAATTCATACGTATTCATTCATACATACCCCCCCCCCACCCCACCCCGTATAATAAAGAACATATCGTGCTTATACATGTATTTTCATTGTATGGAAAGCTACAAAAATTTAAGCCTTATTTTGAGCTACAAAATCTACATTCTAATGGTATTTTCAATTTACACGGTAAGTTATATGCCAGGCCATAATTATATGACTTATTGTCACTTCTACAGATATTGCAAATATAAATTGACCTCTGTGGTCAGTAATGACAAAGGACAGTGTCACTCATATTTTCATGGCATGGTTAGCAACGGACGCAGTGAGAAAAACTGACATAAGCTCGTCTCTCAACAATGTACAATATCTACTTGCTTCCTCATATCGAAACGTCCCTACTTCCATTTAAATATATAGATAAAACTTCTTAAGAATTATAAGAAATATTTACTTGCCGCTCAGCTTTCCAAGTATCAGCTGTTTCTTCCCACGTGACTTCCGGAAAGCGAGGTCAGAGGTTATCACCTCAAGGAGTTCGACGTCACGTCTTTTATCTCTTCATAAATGAGAGGGGCAGTTTCGCTTTATCTCCAACACCCATCAACAAAGTACACGTGTTTGGGAACTTGAGCCAAAACAGAGGTAAATGTTGTATAATTTGGCATGAACAGTACTGTGTTTATCGTTTTACATAACCTGATTCTTAGAATGAAAGACGAACAAGAGCAGTAATAGATCTGTGTACATATGTAGAGTACAAGAATGTACGTTTAATTCACAGTGATTCTTTGTCTAGTACAGGTAAGACATTATATAATGGGAATTTAGCCGTACAGTTTCATGCTGGCGCGCGTAGCTCTTGTATTGTTTTAATACTGTCTAATGAAGAAAACAGCCAATAAATCGCAGTTTGTTTAATAACAGTGTAGTGTGTACTATATATCTTCCTGAATTCTACTGTGCATATGATATACTAGTGCATATGGGCAAACGTTTACGAATACATTGTTTTATATTTAGATCTTAGTAAAAAAAGTAAAAGGTTTGCACTCCTGCGTACTACCAGCACTGACACCTGTTAAGTCCTGATGCTGCTACATTATATACAAATGCATTTTTTATACCTGACATTTTATCATATGATTACATCAGCCCAAACCGGCTTTCTTCCCTCTACCTATACCCCTGTATGTGACAGAGGACATGAGTCTCATCTCTTCCTTGTACATAATAGCTTTAAGCAAGTTGACAATCTTCATCAAGTAAGGAAATATAGGTTATTTTTTATCCTGGTGCTTTGTTAATTTCCCCATAAAGTAAAATTACAAAGTGGATATATATGTTTGGTTCTGGTCACCTCTAGTATATCTGGCAGTGAAAGTGTTTATATCAAGATCAGAGCAAGGGTAGGGTGCATATTTATTTATATGATATTGTTTACATATTACATAATATTGATATGAATCCGTTTTTCACCTAAACTTAAAAGGAGTTGAAAAAGATGGTTGGAACAGTAGCATTTACTAGTAGACCTAGACATCTGTACTTCTGTGATTCTACATGCAGATGTCCATTATTTCAGTTGTTGTGAATTAATTTAAGAATGGCATTACCTCTTCTCTAGGGTCAGACATTAAGTGCACACTCCCCAGGTCTCGGGTGACTATTAAACTACCTCAAGCACAGTAACACATAGCAATGTTAGGTAATAAATTCTATTAAATGAGGACTTACCTGTTTACCTATCTGAGTTAAGTGATGGAATTAACATTTAAATGGAGAATTAATAAAACTGTCAAACGCCCTAAGAAAGTTAATGAATGCAAACCAGGGAATGTTGGCATTAGGTGCATTCAGTTCATAGGCATATTACTGGTATCATACTATTTCAACTAGCACAGTGTCAATGAATACATTTGTTCATTTCAGCCAGGAAGTAGATCAAGATGGATGGTGGTTCAGCTTCACACCTACCTGTTGATAAGGGATGGGCCTGGATGACAGTGTTAGGTAACATGTTATGTCCAAACACACACACACACACACTACCTGTTGACAAGGGATGGGCCTGGATGACAGTGTTAGGTAACATGTTATGTCCACACACACACACACACACACACACACACACTACCTGTTGACAAGGGATGGGCCTGGATGACAGTGTTAGGTAACATGTTATGTCCGCACACACACACACACACACACGCACTACCTGTTGACAAGGGATGGGCCTGAATGACAGTGTTAGGTAACATGTTATGTCCAAACACACACACACACACACTACCTGTTGACAAGGGATGGGCCTGGATGACAGTTTTAGGTAACATGTTATGTCCACACACACGCGTGCGCGTGCACACACACACACACACACACATGTGCACACACATACACGCACACATACACACACACACACACTACCTGTTGACAAGGGATGGGCCTGGATGACAGCTTTAGGTAACAGAGGGTATCTAGAAAAAAAATCAAAATTTTGCACAAACACATTTCAGTATATTTAAATACTGTTTAGTAAGAGGATAACTCATCCCTATATTTCCCTGCTACTTTCAGGTTGTTTTGTTATGCACATATTTGTGGTTGGTTCTTTCAAGTCCCTAGGAATCCTGTTTGTAGAGATTCTGACTACCTTTGAGACCAGTAATGCCCTGACTGCATGGATCCCAGCTGTTCTGGGGGGACTCATGTGTCTGTTGAGTAAGTTATGTAAAAACAGCAGCCGGATGAATGTGTTGTGAGAATATGTGTGTTGTGACAGCACCATTGTGATAACTGAGGATATAAAGACAACAGTGATATGAATGTGTTGTGAGAATATGGAGAGTGTGTTGTGACAGCACCATTGTGATAACTGAGGATGTAAAGACAACAGTGATATGAATGTGTTGTGAGAATATGGAGAGTGTGTTGTGACAGCACCATTGTGATAACTGAGGATATAAAGACAACAGTGATATGAATGTGTTGTGAGAATATGGAGAGTGTGTTGTGACAGCACCATTGTGATAACTGAGGATATAAAGACAACAGTGATATGAATGTGTTGTGAGAATATGGAGAGTGTGTTGTGACAGCACCATTGTGATAACTGAGGATATAAAGACAACAGTGATATGAATGTGTTGTGAGAATATGGAGAGTGTGTTGTGACAGCACCATTGTGATAACTGAGGATATAAAGACAACAGTGATATGAATGTGTTGTGAGAATATGGAGAGTGTGTTGTGACAGCACCATTGTGATAACTGAGGATATAAAGACAACAGTGATATGAATGTGTTGTGAGAATATGGAGAGTGTGTTGTGACAGCACCATTGTGATAACTGAGGATATAAAGACAACAGTGATATGAATGTGTTGTGAGAATATGGAGAGTGTGTTGTGACAGCACCATTGTGATAACTGAGGATATAAAGACAACAGTGATATGAATGTGTTGTGAGAATATGGAGAGTGTGTTGTGACAGCACCATTGTGATAACTGAGGATATAAAGACAACAGTGATATGAATGTGTTGTGAGAATATGGAGAGTGTGTTGTGACAGCACCATTGTGATAACTGAGGATATAAAGACAACAGTGATATGAATGTGTTGTGAGAATATGGAGAGTGTGTTGTGACAGCACCATTGTGATAACTGAGGATATAAAGACAACAGTGATATGAATGTGTTGTGAGAATATGGAGAGTGTGTTGTGACAGCACCATTGTGATAACTGAGGATATAAAGACAACAGTGATATGAATGTGTTGTGAGAATATGGAGAGTGTGTTGTGACAGCACCATTGTGATAACTGAGGATATAAAGACAACAGTGATATGAATGTGTTGTGAGAATATGGAGAGTGTGTTGTGACAGCACCATTGTGATAACTGAGGATATAAAGACAACAGTGATATGAATGTGTTGTGAGAATATGGAGAGTGTGTTGTGACAGCACCATTGTGATAACTGAGGATATAAAGACAACAGTGATATGAATGTGTTGTGAGAATATGGAGAGTGTGTTGTGACAGCACCATTGTGATAACTGAGGATATAAAGACAACAGTGATATGAATGTGTTGTGAGAATATGGAGAGTGTGTTGTGACAGCACCATTGTGATAACTGAGGATATAAAGACAACAGTGATATGAATGTGTTGTGAGAATATGGAGAGTGTGTTGTGACAGCACCATTGTGATAACTGAGGATATAAAGACAACAGTGATATGAATGTGTTGTGAGAATATGGAGAGTGTGTTGTGACAGCACCATTGTGATAACTGAGGATATAAAGACAACAGTGATATGAATGTGTTGTGAGAATATGGAGAGTGTGTTGTGACAGCACCATTGTGATAACTGAGGATATAAAGACAACAGTGATATGAATGTGTTGTGAGAATATGGAGAGTGTGTTGTGACAGCACCATTGTGATAACTGAGGATATAAAGACAACAGTGATATGAATGTGTTGTGAGAATATGGAGAGTGTGTTGTGACAGCACCATTGTGATAACTGAGGATATAAAGACAACAGTGATATGAATGTGTTGTGAGAATATGGAGAGTGTGTTGTGACAGCACCATTGTGATAACTGAGGATATAAAGACAACAGTGATATGAATGTGTTGTGAGAATATGGAGAGTGTGTTGTGACAGCACCATTGTGATAACTGAGGATATAAAGACAACAGTGATATGAATGTGTTGTGAGAATATGGAGAGTGTGTTGTGACAGCACCATTGTGATAACTGAGGATATAAAGACAACAGTGATATGAATGTGTTGTGAGAATATGGAGAGTGTGTTGTGACAGCACCATTGTGATAACTGAGGATATAAAGACAACAGTGATATGAATGTGTTGTGAGAATATGGAGAGTGTGTTGTGACAGCACCATTGTGATAACTGAGGATATAAAGACAACAGTGATATGAATGTGTTGTGAGAATATGGAGAGTGTGTTGTGACAGCACCATTGTGATAACTGAGGATATAAAGACAACAGTGATATGAATGTGTTGTGAGAATATGGAGAGTGTGTTGTGACAGCACCATTGTGATAACTGAGGATATAAAGACAACAGTGATATGAATGTGTTGTGAGAATATGGAGAGTGTGTTGTGACAGCACCATTGTGATAACTGAGGATATAAAGACAACAGTGATATGAATGTGTTGTGAGAATATGGAGAGTGTGTTGTGACAGCACCATTGTGATAACTGAGGATATAAAGACAACAGTGATATGAATGTGTTGTGAGAATATGGAGAGTGTGTTGTGACAGCACCATTGTGATAACTGAGGATATAAAGACAACAGTGATATGAATGTGTTGTGAGAATATGGAGAGTGTGTTGTGACAGCACCATTGTGATAACTGAGGATATAAAGACAACAGTGATATGAATGTGTTGTGAGAATATGGAGAGTGTGTTGTGACAGCACCATTGTGATAACTGAGGATATAAAGACAACAGTGATATGAATGTGTTGTGAGAATATGGAGAGTGTGTTGTGACAGCACCATTGTGATAACTGAGGATATAAAGACAACAGTGATATGAATGTGTTGTGAGAATATGGAGAGTGTGTTGTGACAGCACCATTGTGATAACTGAGGATATAAAGACAACAGTGATATGAATGTGTTGTGAGAATATGGAGAGTGTGTTGTGACAGCACCATTGTGATAACTGAGGATATAAAGACAACAGTGATATGAATGTGTTGTGAGAATATGGAGAGTGTGTTGTGACAGCACCATTGTGATAACTGAGGATATAAAGACAACAGTGATATGAATGTGTTGTGAGAATATGGAGAGTGTGTTGTGACAGCACCATTGTGATAACTGAGGATATAAAGACAACAGTGATATGAATGTGTTGTGAGAATATGGAGAGTGTGTTGTGACAGCACCATTGTGATAACTGAGGATATAAAGACAACAGTGATATGAATGTGTTGTGAGAATATGGAGAGTGTGTTGTGACAGCACCATTGTGATAACTGAGGATATAAAGACAACAGTGATATGAATGTGTTGTGAGAATATGGAGAGTGTGTTGTGACAGCACCATTGTGATAACTGAGGATATAAAGACAACAGTGATATGAATGTGTTGTGAGAATATGGAGAGTGTGTTGTGACAGCACCATTGTGATAACTGAGGATATAAAGACAACAGTGATATGAATGTGTTGTGAGAATATGGAGAGTGTGTTGTGACAGCACCATTGTGATAACTGAGGATATAAAGACAACAGTGATATGAATGTGTTGTGAGAATATGGAGAGTGTGTTGTGACAGCACCATTGTGATAACTGAGGATATAAAGACAACAGTGATATGAATGTGTTGTGAGAATATGGAGAGTGTGTTGTGACAGCACCATTGTGATAACTGAGGATATAAAGACAACAGTGATATGAATGTGTTGTGAGAATATGGAGAGTGTGTTGTGACAGCACCATTGTGATAACTGAGGATATAAAGACAACAGTGATATGAATGTGTTGTGAGAATATGGAGAGTGTGTTGTGACAGCACCATTGTGATAACTGAGGATATAAAGACAACAGTGATATGAATGTGTTGTGAGAATATGGAGAGTGTGTTGTGACAGCACCATTGTGATAACTGAGGATATAAAGACAACAGTGATATGAATGTGTTGTGAGAATATGGAGAGTGTGTTGTGACAGCACCATTGTGATAACTGAGGATATAAAGACAACAGTGATATGAATGTGTTGTGAGAATATGGAGAGTGTGTTGTGACAGCACCATTGTGATAACTGAGGATATAAAGACAACAGTGATATGAATGTGTTGTGAGAATATGGAGAGTGTGTTGTGACAGCACCATTGTGATAACTGAGGATATAAAGACAACAGTGATATGAATGTGTTGTGAGAATATGGAGAGTGTGTTGTGACAGCACCATTGTGATAACTGAGGATATAAAGACAACAGTGATATGAATGTGTTGTGAGAATATGGAGAGTGTGTTGTGACAGCACCATTGTGATAACTGAGGATATAAAGACAACAGTGATATGAATGTGTTGTGAGAATATGGAGAGTGTGTTGTGACAGCACCATTGTGATAACTGAGGATATAAAGACAACAGTGATATGAATGTGTTGTGAGAATATGGAGAGTGTGTTGTGACAGCACCATTGTGATAACTGAGGATATAAAGACAACAGTGATATGAATGTGTTGTGAGAATATGGAGAGTGTGTTGTGACAGCACCATTGTGATAACTGAGGATATAAAGACAACAGTGATATGAATGTGTTGTGAGAATATGGAGAGTGTGTTGTGACAGCACCATTGTGATAACTGAGGATATAAAGACAACAGTGATATGAATGTGTTGTGAGAATATGGAGAGTGTGTTGTGACAGCACCATTGTGATAACTGAGGATATAAAGACAACNGGGTCTGTTTGGCGGGGCTTTCATCGCTGTGATAGCTGTCACTTTAGTAGAAGTCCTAGGACTGGAGAGGTTGGCCTACTCCATGGGTTTGCTGCTCCTGGGGACTACTATATCTACCGTAGGATCCCCACCTTTTTTAGGTACGTCTGACTCTTTTCCTTTAAAGTTAGGGTTTGTGCATATGCTATGCTGAGAGGGACAGAGAGGGGGAAGGAGGAACAAATTTACATTCTCTTTAATTTAAAATCCACCAACTTTCAATGAGGAACTCTGGCGTGGCTCAGGCAGTGACCTGTTTTAGTGTAAGAAAGCAGTAAATATTTCAGACATTTTTTTATGAATTTGTCCTTATTAAAAATTTCAGAGCAAAATGAAATGAAATATTGTGCAGTTGTTATATTTATTTCTTATGTTAATATAGGCTGGGTGGCTGATACTACAGGGTCTTACAGCTGGCTTTTCCGTATCTGTGGAATCTCCATGGTAACTGCCTCCACCATCTTGTGTCTGGAGCCAGTAGCCAGGAAATATGAAGTGAAGAAAGAACAACTGGCAGCAGGGACATCAGACCTGGTGCAAACTGACCAGACGTGTACACAAAAATTGAATGGAAACTTGGTAGAGACTTAAAAAGCGTTTTGTTAATCATGGTGTTTTGTGTGATTGGTAAAACAATTATTGTATTTTATCTCAAGTAAGATTCTCAGCAAGGATTTCTCCTGTATAAATACTTGCAGATATTTCACCATGATGATATGACTTATTTAACTAAAGGATATCTATTACATACCAATAGGAATGTATACAACATATAAATGATTTTTTTAAATTTTTGATTACTGTATTTTATTGATCCATTAACATTTTAAAATGTTTAAGTTAAAGTACATTGAATTTTAGTTGCATACTGGTGGTAATTATTTCATTATCAATATGACACATAATTTTCACACAAAACTTAATTCAAGTTTAACTGAAACTACTTTTAGATGTAATAAAAAGGTAAAGATGAAGACAGTTTGTCTTGTATGTAATGCTAGATGTCCAGATGTTGCTCTATAAATATACATTTTCTCTCTGTCAGCCTCCTGAATTATTGTTACAGTAATCCCATGTCTAATGAAAGGTATGCTATGCAGGTCGTATATGATAGGGATGATGTATTAAGATGCACTTTCTTTAATAGTAAGTTGTTACAGATTACTCCACATTTAAGTGTGGATTTATTGTTTTTTGCTTATTTTATTATTTTTTTCAACACTGAGGTTTGTATGAACCCCTGCTGGTTGCTTTTGCTGATGATAACAGAGAATCTCTTGGAAAATCTCACCAAGCAGAGAGGGTAGATCTTTGTTCCTTTTGTTAAGTTCTGTAAAAATATTTTATTGAGCCAAGATGTTCATAAGCTTGTTGATAGTTGGGTCTTATTTAGAAATTATTGAAGACAAGTTGAAATACATGTTATGGTTAGCTTGTTAACTTTAGTCTGATGAAAGCCTACATCAAGCTACAGTATGGAAAATTGTGTTAAATAACTACTATTTATGATATTTTATTGAATTTGATAAGATTGCTAGTGAAATTGAGGTCCACAGCCAACTATATATTTTTCTTTAGAGTGCACAATGTTTTGTGAAGTTCATTGTTTAAAGGTTTTAGAAGGGAGCATATATGACAGATACTCTAGTCTCTTACATATGTTGAGTTTGTTGATCTTAATTTGTGCCACGTGAATTATTAAGATATGTTAATTTAATGACCCATCTTCAGTCCCATGCCAAAGATACATTCTTTATTCCCTGCTAAAATGTTTATGTATTACAGATTTTTTTATTTATGTGTGCATATGACTTAAACGTTTTTAACTGTGTTCCTATAAAATACACTTACTGTGCCAGAAAACAGACATTTGTTATTGTGAGCATCACGTTTTTAAATTCACAGTTATATTTATATCAATCCATCTCCCACCTCATGGATACCTTAGTTTTATACATCATGTTACAGTGATAATTTGAAAGCAGACATTTTGTTTTGACTTTTTTGAATAATCTACAAGGATAAATACAGGTCATCTTTCAATGAAATAGATTGCATATTATATTATATTATATTATATTATATTATATTATATTATATTATATTATATTATATTGCATTGTATTATATTATATTATATTATATAATATTATATTATAATAACAAATTTAATGAAGTGTAATACCGCTCAGACCATTAAAAATTATCTTTACTTAATAAGTTGTAATTTTTTATTCCTAGCAGCTTTTTACAGTAACCGTTGTTACAACTTTGCTTTTCTTTGTTATGGATTATTTTCTGTGAAATGGTGCCTTTAATTGTACACATTTTCTTTAGAAATTTACTGTGGTGACAATTTTATTTTATTTGTTATTGGAGCCTTATCATATATGTCACATTATATTAATTGTATTGCAGAAGATGACGAAGTTCTTTGGTTTGGTTTCCTTTCTATTTACACTCTTATTGTTGGATCATGTTAAGTTGCAAGTCTCACATCACAAGTACAAAATAACATCGGGAAGCTTTTCACATTGTTTATTCACGCTATACGGTATGGTATGGTGAAAACTAAATGAAAAATTAACGAAATAATTAAATACAGACGAAAACAAAATAAAACAGACGCAAAGTAAAACTAATAATGAATTCATCATATGAATGTGGCAGCGTGTGCTACATGTACAGTACTGGTAGATTTGACTAAATATAACGAAAATATCTTCTTAAAATATTATTATTCATACAAATACATAACAGAAATGTGGCGCTTTACTCGTGGCGGCCCCCAGGCGTTTCCGACAATAATATAAAAAAAAAACTTAGATCTGGCGACCTGCATGAGCACGAATTAGTAGTTTGAGTTGCTGACAAATTAGGTACTAAAATCACCTGACAATTTAATTACAAGACGAATTAACAACAGATACGCTACATGCATAAAAAGACGTGATTCAAAAACAATCTTCCTGAGAATGATGTGAATTTTTCTTCAGTCAACAGCTAATATTGAGATAGGTTTTACCTCCAATATTTCGATGTCTATCAGGACATCTTCAGGGAATCGAAATATTGGAGGTAAAACCTATCTCAATATTAGCTGTTGACTGAAGAAAAACCGCAAACCGCAACGCCTGGTTTACTCAAACTGTTTACGCAAGTTGCACCAAACAAAACACGATCATCCTAACTACGCCCAAGTAACGCTTCGTTGGATCACTGCCCAACAAATCATGGATGGAATAATTGGGCAAATGAGAAGTTTGCAGCTGAAATCATTATAGCATGAGAACTTAGGGACCATTCCCACAGATATTTGGATCAATCTATCTCCCTGGGGAGTCTCACTAAATAGCTGTCATCTTAACTTGCTTAAATGTCTGTCACGCCTAGTAAAGCTGTTAGGAGGTAATTATCTTTACCCCCAAGCTGATTAGGTAGGCGTGACAGACATTTAAGCCGGTTAGTTGATAGCAACTTAATGAGATTCCTCAGGGAGTTAGACCGATCCAGATGGATGGATCTAGGCATGGAAACCACTCATGAATAAAGACAAAATGAGCATTTCAGTGACGGAGAGATTCAGAACATTAAAAGCTTTGAGTAACAGATTGATGTTTGTTGAATATGAGTAAAATGCGTTTAAGGTAGTACGTATTTATGGATTTAATTTAAATAATGGATTTGAACTACTTGGTCAAATCCATTTTTTAGTCTAAAATTGCACATTTAACGCCAACTAAGTTCTCGTCTCTATGTTTATATATCGTAAAATATGAATAATACAAAACGTGAGAAAAAATGCCAAAAGCTATGGTTAGTAAAGATTGTTAAGAGAAGTTGAGAAATCGAACTCCTTAGAGACACAACTTACTGACATGTGTGGTAAGATTTAACTTGCACAAATACATACCCTAATACATGGCTTCATACTCCTACCATATAAATGAATTTTACATAAACATTTCATAACAATACTGACAGTAACTCACAATTTCCTCATCTTATTTCAACAAACATAAATGTTTAGTACAATGTTATGTCAGCGGCCCATTTATTGTCTCAAAGTTTTCTGATTTTAGTTTTTTATATACATGTAGCCATCACCGCCAGACGGCGCTGTCTGCTCTTTTCAATGGAAACACATGCAATCATTTGATAACCGAGTGACTTTCTATCCTCAAATCTGCAGGTCTGACTTCTTTGAAAACCATGTTAGCTCTTATTTTCAAACTAATAAGAACGATACGTACAGTACTCTATACAATATACAGCTGGCATTCAAAAACAAGACTAATTGGACTCTTTTTCTTAATGTTATGTAGTTTTTACATGAGTGTCTAATTGTTTACACATTGGCGTTTTAAATGATTGAGTTTTAAGTCCCATGGCCTAAAAGCTCTGCGTAAGTAACATTTTCTGAATGTGCATGTTACCTGCAGTACATGATAAACAAATGATTGAAAATTGTCAAAAATATTATGTGCAGTGTCATCGTCATTTTCTGCTTTATGCCTGTACATTGGAGAGCTTTGCTGGCATGTAAACAGCGTTTTACGATAACAAGCCCATGGGTATCCTAAACTTTCACGTACCATATTCTATTTCCAGTTATATTAGAGCCTGATGCTAGTTTATCTCTTTGCCCCGTCGATGTCGTGTGTGTTACTTAGAACACTGCGCTAGGCTACCCCCTACCAGGGTGACTGACTGAATTTTCACAAGATATTCACAGATGTTTAAAAATGTCTTTACATAAATAGTCATCTGCCGCCCTGTGATGAAATCTCAAGGATGATTACATGGCTGGTTCTCAACCACTACCACTTACTAGGCCCAAGCCAAGTCCCCTTGACAGCAGTCAAGACAGTTAATTGCTCTGATTTTAATCACCTGCTCTTTGTGACTGATAAAAATAGCCCCTTATGAATAACTTGTTACTTCAGACTAAAGTTAACTAAGGAATCTCCTGTAGCAGCTCCCTACAGAGCGGGTACAATGTCATCTGCGCGCGTGCAGATTTAATTGCTACCATCTGGTCAAAAGTCACAGGGTGGCTTTTTGTAAATTTGCCCATAATATCTGCCATGCTGGTAGAGAGTAACAGCAGTCCATGTGGTCCAAATAAACCATCTGCAAACAGAAAGCCCTGACAAAGTCAATACAAAGATAAGATAAAGCAGTATTTTAGCGCCACATGAAGAGCAAAGGTAACAGATGTTACGTAACCAAGGTCTAGGTATTAGGGATGGCGTACGTTTATGCAAGTGCGAGTTTTTTGCTGCTCACTGCTGCGACCGCTGTTCGCCAAGAAACGCCAGAGAACGTGTACTACGATGTAACGACGGGTGTAAGTCTCGAAATGTTTTTATGTACTGAAATATGGATTTAAACCAAACAAAAATTGTGGTGGGAATTAACGGAAGATTGATATGATGCTGTAGAGCATTCGCAATTGACCGATGTTTTGTACATCCAGATAATTCAGAGGGTTAATGGTAAATTTGACGCATATACCGCGTGTTTGAGGGAGAGTATACCGCGTGTTTGAGGGAGAGTATACCGCGTGTTTGAGGGAGAGTATA